TTTTGATTCGACTTGTGGCTGACTCGTTTCATGTAATTAATATTGAAAACTTTCCAAATAAACTCTTATTGGCTATATTCGTGCAAGTAATGTATTGTGCTATGTAAATACTAATTGTTTCTGTTGTTTTTTTGTTCTTTGTACATATGTTCAATAACTAACTGAAATTTTATTCAATAACTACCTGCCAATGTATATTATTTTATAGTGTATAGTTTTCGAGAACATTACTCGTCTCTGAATTATCGTAACTGTTTCAAACACATTAAATACACTACATGAAGTGTATAGACATTTCAGTAAAGTTGACAGAGATGATTTTTCGTGCATTAAGGTTTAATCCTGAACTAGGATTCAAATATAAGCACCACTACTGTATATGATGATTTGAATAATTGTATAACAATTTTCAGCATTTGTGAACCGTATGTAATCACCAATCTTATCTCGTATTTCAAACCAGGACAGACCGAGATGACAATATATGATGCATACTTTTATGCTGTAATGATGATATCTTTGAAGTTGTGCCAGCGCCTCTACCTTCACAATTACATATTGTGCGTTCAACAGCTGGGAGTAGAAATAAAGACTTCTTTCACCTCGTTACTCTACAGAAAATCATTGAAACTTACATCTAGCACTTTATCACAAACAACGGTAGGTAATATTGTAACCTTGATTACGAAAGATGTTCAAACATTCAAGGAATCCGTTTGGATCATCAGCGATGTTAGTAGCGGTTTGGTTCAGATAAGTCTAATTTCCTATTTGATATTTGCAAAAGTCGGGATTACTTCATTATTTGGTATAGGAATATTGATTGCTGCATTGCCTATTCAAGGTGAGTACTAATTTCTATTGTTTATCACAAATCATGTCACTGGATGAGTTTGCTTTTATCAATATGTTTTTGAAATTGTGTCTTGATTGAAAGTGTTTGACAATGTTTCATGTTGCAATTCATTAGTTTGGACTTCCATTATCTAATATGATATACACTGATTTGAAATACCTGAAATAATCTGTAAAAAATTAAAAAAGTTAAAAAATTTAAAAAAATTATCTGAAAATTATAGCTGAAAATTATATTCAGCAAACAAACTGAAATCACAATGAGGTAAAATACAAGCAACAAACAAAAAATCAAAAAAATCGAACTATTAACACGAGATGAAAAATAAAAATTAAAATATTTCAAATCAAGTTACTTAACGACGTTTCGATTGTTAGTATCCACAATCGTCTTCGGGTGATAACTGGACTTATTCCTTCGAGATCTGACTATTTATAGATCATTAGANCATGGATGCATGTCTTTTCATTTCTGGTATCATCTAGCTGCCTTCCTGCAGTAGAAGCTACAGAGAGGGAGAAGAAAATAGAGATATATGACAGAAACAATATATAATTTGGCGGTTTACGTTGAAGAGATGTTCCGTCTCTAGTTTATTCATCGTTTTCATATGAGTATTCGTAGGGAGTATCTTCATCGCCACTTCTCACTCCAGATTGCTCTGAAGAATAACCAGCTGTCGCACCCCTACGAACGACAACCCTCAGAAGTCGAAACTTGTGCGAGTTAAGGACAAGCGAGGTCTTACTTTTTAACGTGTGATTCCTAACACGTGTTAGATTATAGCAAGTTAAAATCGATCGTTCAGCTTGGGGCTTGAACTAGCGACCAACACGGCGATCGATTTGAGTGAGTGAACAAAGCACCCACGTCGAACCGCCCGGCTTCCGACTCTTCTTGAGTTTCAGTTGATACGTCAAGGATAGTATTTCGAACACGCCACTGAAGATGACTGCCGCAGTTGCAGTTGAAACGAGATTATAACCAAAGAAGACTAGGGCAAAACCCGGAAGCCAATCAAAACATTTACAAGCTTTGGTATTATAGCAGTATTTGAAGTAGTTGGAGGTTTCAGTATCTAGCAACTTGATTGACAATAATTTTCTACAGTTCACTTTTTCATAATCTTCGTTATCGAAAATTCAGGAAAAGTCACTCGGTTTTGATTTTTTTAGTTTTATTAGGAAATCCACAGACAAGAATTGAATGAATTAATTATTTATTGTCTACTTCTTAGAATTAAAGATTATGATTTGAAATAAATTTGGATGATTGACTGAATCTCGATGCTATTTAATTGCACTTCAACCTTCGAATATACGTTTCAGCAATCATTGGAAGATGGATCAATACCCTCAGGCAAAAAACTGGAGCAAAAACTGACGAACGACTGCAAGTAACTCAAGAAGCGTTGTCAGCAATTAGAATAATCAAAATGTACACATGGGAGAAAATTTTTGGCGATAGAATCAATGAGGCTAGACAGTAAGATATTCAACATTTTGTGTCCTTCCCGTTCCTTTGAAATTATTTAATATTCTAAAGTAGCCACTTTCAACTTACATATTTCATCGCAGACCGATATTCATAGTTGCTCTTGACCTTTGAACAGATATTTTCAAAAATTAATAGTTATGGACGATTTTTACATTTTTCAGAAATGAATGCACCCAATTTTCAAGAATATGACCAGAATGCGACTCAAGTATTACCCCATGACCAATATCCCTCTTGAGAACTAACATTTCCAAATGAGAATGTGCTTAAGGCTCAAAATCAATCGTCTTCTTTCACATATTCCATTATGCTTTCTGAAATAGTTATTCGAAAATTTTTGAATTGCGAAATGTTCCTTCTTGTTTCATTTTTGAATCTTGAATTAACACATCCGACGCCACCTAACCTAACCTAACCATCAGGTTAAGTTAGATATGTAGTTGGGTTAGGTTAGGACTTCTGGCAGAATCTTCCAGGATTGGCTCACTCCAAGGCGTTTATTCACCTTTCGAAGCTTGATACCAAACAGATGTTGGACTACCGTAGGGATGAACTACGATGTCTAACCGGCCTTCTTACAGGTCATTGTCATTTGAATCATCGAATGCAGAGACTTAAACTGTGGGATTAAACTGAAAAATTCAAACATTCTAATGAATGACCAACTGGATTTGAATAGATCACCATTATTGAACTTGTTTTCTTAAAAAACCGAAGAAGGATTATTATTAATGTAAAAGAGAGGTAATATGCTTCAGGTAATCCTATTTGAAAAGGTACCTCAGATATATAAGAATTGTAGAGGTTTAGGTAAGTTGACGGAGATAGCCCCAAAGGGGGATGTTCCTCAATTTGGGTTATTACAGCAAATGCAAAAACTCATGAATTAAACACAACTTCAAAATGAAGTTGTGTTTAATTCATGAGTTTTTCAAATTCACTTCGAAAAGTATTCAAATTGATGTTTCAGATGTTGGGTTTTGATTTTTAAAGGAATTTGTTTCTAATTCACATATTGGTAACAGCGGCTATATCAAGTTGAAATAATTTATACGTACCTATATATTCTACTTTAAAAAAGGAAAATTATCTTTATGAATCAACAATTAAGGCAAAATATAGATTATAGTTCAATACCACCTCCACAAGCCACATAAAGAACAGTTGTTTTGTTATTTATTCATATATAAACAGAACAGCATGCCTCTAAAATATGTCATCTTTGTTTGTCTCATACAGGTAACAGATTCATTGTCCTTTATTAGCTATAACCGATGTTGCCAAATGGTGAAATAGAAACGAATCCCTTTAAATGTTGAATGCATTTTCATTCCTATTTTTCAAGTACTTAAATAATTTTTTAAAGAAAAAGGTTGAAATGATAAGTTTAAAATGCGTTGTTTTAGAGCTCTTTTATGAAAACTACTCGATTTTCGTTAGGAAGAACATTCGCCATTGTAGTTACCTGTGGTATTAGCAAGAAATTCAAATCACTGTTGATGAAGCTACTATGTTAGTGAAACATGTCGAGATATATTTCTCAAATAAAGTTTGTAGAGATCAAATCGTGAGGTGTAGTTTATGAAAAAACACAACAATCGGTTGGAAAGGTTATGACCTCGGTTTTTGGGATGTGCATTGTGTAATATTCATCTACTATCTTGAGAAGGGAAATACCATCATGAATATTATGGTGCGTTATTGGAGCGTTTGAAGGCCGAAATTGCAATGAAACCACCGCATATGGCAAAAGAAAAAATTGTGTTCGTCAACAACGCACCGTGTCACAAGTCAATCAAAACAATGACGAAACTACAAGAATCGAACTTCGAATTGCTCCCACATCCATCGTATTTGCTAGATTTAGCAGCCATTAACTACTGGTTAATGAAGAAATTCTAGAAAACGATGGAGAATCTCTTGGTTTATCAAATATTACTTTTATAGCTTTTTACATTAATTGATACAGTATATTTTTTGCCTTTTAGTGTAGGATCACCGAATTGTAATGAGATATCTAATTCCAGAGAGAATATGAGCATCATAACTTAGGATTTGTAATTGAGTATCTAATCTGAAAAATGTATTCTTGTGATTGCGCTCATATCAGTGGTACAATCCATTCTTTAATTTTATTTAAATGACTGAAAATTTAAATATTTATCAATTAGTAGGCCTAAATATTTTTTACTTGAAAATCATGAAAACTCTCTTTTGCAAGTTAATTGTGAAATTGAGGTCAATTGAAAATTTCTGTGATTTTACTCTTTCATTTATTTACATTATGTAGCATTTGAAGTAAATGTCTGTTTTACTTCCTATTATCAGTTTTTGCTATATA